ATATATTTGCTTATCCCCTCCAAAAACTTGATGACGTCAGCTCGAAAATTTGCCGAATAAATCATATCTAAAATGTACAAAATATGATCAGTCTGTACTTGTGATCTATCACTCCATTCATATTTTTTGGATTTGCATATACAGGGTGATTCAAGAAAATAAATGAAAGCGTAAATTTATTTTACTGATTTACTCAGGAACTACAAAACCGAATGCTTCGAAATCTTGAAGACATTTTAAAATTATCATAAGCATGGTAAATTTTTGATCAAAACGTATTTGGTCGTCCCCCCTAAAAAAATTATGATGTCACCACAAAATTTTGCTGAAAAAATCCTATCTAAAATGTACAAAATATGGTGAGTCTCTTCTTGTGATTTATCATTCCATTCAAATTTTTTCGATTTGCATATACAGGGTGACTCAAAAAAATTAATGAATGCGTAAATTTATTTTATTGATTTAATCAGGAACTACAAAATCGAATGCTTTGAAATCTTGCAGATGTTTGAAGGTTATAAAGAGCATAATAAATTTTTAGTCAAAATATATTTGGTTATCTTCTACAAAAAACTGATGACGTCAGCTCAAAAGTTTGCCGAATAAATCGTATCTAAAATGTACAAAATATGATGAGTCTGTACTTGTGATTTATGATTCCATTCATATTTTTGAATTTGCATATGCAGGGTGACTCAAAAAAATTAATGAAGGCGTGAATTTATTTTATCGATTTAATCAGGAATTACAAAACCGAATGCTTTGAAATCTTGGGAATATTTTAAAGTTATTATAAGCATGGTAAACTTTTGTTCAAAATGTATTTGTTCATCCCTCCTAAAAAAATTGATGACGTCACCCTTAAATTTTGCTGAATAAATCCTATCTAAAATGCAAAAAATATGATGAGTTTGTACTTGTGATTTATCATTCCATTCATATTTTTTAGATTTTCTTAAGAGGTGGTTCAAAAAAATTAATGAAGTCAATTTATTTTATTGATTGAATTAAAGGCAACACTTATTATTAGTATTACACCCCAACCAACCCAATTTGGTAGACACAAAATTTGTTAAAGGAAAAACTCGGTTGAAACATAAGGGTAGCACGCTTATTTACATCGACTTTAACATTACAGACCTGCATTTGTTTTATGCGTTCACTTGATTCCGCGAATGTGAAATAGACATGTTTATAATCAACCAATTGTGAATTTCACCGTCAAGAATTAAAATAAAACCCAATGTTTTATATAATAAGCGGAAATCGAAGCAGTAAAACCGACGGTCGTTTTGTTTACAGTTTCTCTGTTTGGCTCTCACGTATGCTGTTACGCCTGTCATCTTAAATTAAGAATGTTTATACATACACGATTTTCAGTTGCCTCTGATACGTAGGTATACGTGAGTAAATTGTTTCGTTATTTTATTGATTATTACAAATCAATATTCAAACGACCCAATTCATTTTCCCGAAAATTTGAGAATATAATAATTTTATTCTTAGTATTACACTACATCTATCCCAACTGATATACGTGTCCTTGCAAAAATGTTGATGACGTCATCGCAATTTTTTTTTAAATTCCCACTACAAAAATGTAATGAGAAAAAAAACACAATAGGCATGCAGTCGTCAAGTTTCCGACAGCGAGGGAAGTACTGTCTAAACTCTTTAGACCAATTTTTTTTTAATCTTTTGGCCGTCTTATTTTTTATAAATTTTCTTACATATAAACCTTGTCCTGACAATAAGGAACACGTAAAAAAAGAATCGTCCAATTCGGTGCAGCCGTTCTGAAGTTATGAGCGTACATACATTTCGGCGATTCATTTTTGTTAATATAGATAGATGCATTATTATTTTAGAACAAATTTCATTACCATAAAAAAGGTTATACTGACTCGACCTTAAAAGATAGACATATGCTGTCGCGGACTTTTCTTTAGAACTTTTAGAGGGGAACAATTTCGTCATACATGATTTTTACGTAACTTTAACCGTTTAAGCAGCGTAAGCAACGGAAGCTGTCAAAGAAGGAATAATTTTCCCGTTTTTCCGAATTTTTCATTGCTACTTCGCTCCTAATGATCGTAGCGTGATGTTATGTAGCCTATATGTAGATATGATACATGGACTATCCAACACAAAAAGATTTTTTGAATTTGAACCAGTAGTTTCTAAGATTAGCGTGATCAAATAAACAAAAGCTTCAGCTTTATTATATAAGTATAGATTAATAAATTTTCGAAAAAATTGTTACCACAAAGCTTTTTTTGTGATGTTTCTAAAGCTTTGGTTGTACGTCATTTCATATCCTTAAAGAAAAATTAATTTCATAATTTCACAAAACTTAATAATGTACCGCTTCTAGTTATCTCGCAGTTAATTACGGGGTACCGCAAGGATCTGTGTTTGGATTCATTATTTTCCTTTTATATTTAATTTTTTTAGTAGGTATATACTTACGTGTTAAATATTATGACGAAAATTATGCTAGGTACATGAAGGGAAATGTGCTTAGTATTACTTTCAGAGATCAAGAACAGCCACTATATAGTATCACCTGTTGCGGCCTTAAATTCTATAGCAAACCTTCCATAAAATCACTTTATTTAATCGCATTTACCACGTAGGCAGTTCCTTGTTACTAAAAAGTGTTAAATATATCTACTGTTATTATATGGCATTCTAAAATGATAATAATTGCGTAGATCATAATTAGTATTATTCTTTGAATGACGTATGCAAACATAGATATTTATGTACACAACACAAATGTACCTTTATTATTGTTAACAAGAAACGGGATTTGTCTCGTTGTGCTTAAGGGGCGAAGTAAGTTCTATCTAAATACCTTTTTTTCTTGTAATTATTATTTTGGTTCCTTGTCCTATTTGTTTTTTGAGAACGTACCTAGATTCTTTCATTAATCTTTATTCTTTAATTTTGTTTTTTCAAAGAAATACGATACTCGTGCTTAATAAAAATTGATGAGTTCAATATAAATTTATAAATGTTATTTGCTTATAAACTTCATGATTTATATTCCCAGCTACCACTTTTGATTTATACATATAGCTGTGCTAATGCCACTGTTGTCGTCTTAAACATTAATAGGAGAAAATATCTGCATATAACTTTACTTTTTTATTTTTGAAGTAACGATTCATTTTACTTGGCGATTTTCTTCGCACAGTCATTAATGTCGCAACTACTAAATCACCCATAAACCCATCGATAACCATCACCATCTTTACACCTTCTATTTTATCACCCATCAAGTTAATTACTCGCGAAAATGTCCGTCCTTTCACCATCAAAATCTTCTTCTACGACACAGGTAACGAAAAATTAGACTTTCTTCATCTTCAATCTATGAAGAAGAGTGTGAAAGTTTACTTCGGTTCATGAGAATCCTTTGACCTTTCGTTTTTATAACCTGATAAGAGGAGTCGGAGTCGCGCGAAAATCGATTAGGAGGTGGATGAGTGTTCGTTGTGAAGAAATTGCGAAGAATTGTAGATTTACAGAAATGTATATCACGCTTTAGTTTAAATACGTAACGGGAGGAATCGATGGTATGAGGCTCAGTGGTCTAGGGGTATGATTCTCGCTTTGGGTGCGAGAGGTCCCGGGTTCAAATCCCGGCTGAGCCCATTTTTTTTCAGTTTTATAATACGAGTACAGCAAGTAATGTAATTGCTGAATGCATTATTAATGGGAATGAATAGATTAATTCTTGTTTTAACCAACTTTTCCTTTAATCGCTTTATGAGGAGAAATTTAATTTAATTAGAAACATGCATTTTCTCTCTTTCGCGAATAAGAGTGTCTTTTTTTGCTAACGCTTTGTTTACTTTGTATGCACCTTTTAAAGAGATATTCAAATTAATGACCATTTGCTATTAAGAGAAATGTTGGCGATTTTGTGTTACTTGAAATTTAATATAAACTGTACAATTATTGTTCATGTCTTGGCAAGTTTTTAGAGTTTTCTCAAGTGCATTTTTATCTTTTAAAGTTTAAATAATAAGTATTTGTATTATAATTTAAATAATATACGAAAATTATTTTTTTGAGTTTTGACAAATTTATAAAAAACTGTTCGAAATTATTAAATGTTTATCACTAACTTTTTGTTTATCTTGACGTATTGGAAATATTGAGAATTGCAATCAATTTGATGTTGTTTATTTTTGGCAAAATTGGATTTTTAAATTTGTTTAAATTTCAGTTCACGTGTTTACAGAATTACAACAAGCATTTTGTAACATAGTACACATCTGAGATTCCAGTTTTAACTTCTAGTCCTAGATAAATTTAAAAATATTAATTCTGCATAGGTACATGCAAATTTGGTAAATTTGAGTGAAAAGATGTACCAAATCTGGATTCCTAAATTTTTTAGTAAATCTACACATATATTACTCTTTCGTTTCAGAAGTTTTTGAAACACGAAATTTTGGAAAAAAACTTTGTGGTGGTGGTTCCACAAATATATTAATAATTTTTGCATTTTAATGTTTTTAAATTGCTCAATGAATTCGGTGTTTAACAAACTTACTGCACAATGAAACTGCAATTTTTGTCAAGTACCGTAAGCGTTTTTTGCATAATTTCCTTCTTTTTGTGTTAATTCGGTAATCTTCTTCTAACTCGACAATTCCTCCCAAACTTGTCATTTTCGAATAAGTGGGTCCGTTCTGTTGAACTTGGCCGTTCCCAAGGTTTCTCTTAATAGCTCCAGACAATGCACTTCATTTCTCATTGTCATTGTTCACCAGAAGCACCAATTGAGCGTTTGCCCCCTCATAATTACGAGAAATGCTCGTTTTTATTAATTGCCACCGGCTTAATTGCTCCTGAAGATGCGTGCTGATCTAAACGACCATCTCTGTGGGAAGACAGCAACTGGGAAAAAATAAAAATCGTTTATTCACAAACCCGACAATCTAGCCTTCCTCTTTCATTTTGACAAATTCCCCCGCAACGTCAAAATGCCAAAAAAGTTCACACCATCTGAACGCAAAAAGGCGTTGCAAAAAGAAACCGAAAACGATTCCTCGTCGTCGTCGTCCTGGGAAGAAAGAGACAAAATTATTAAAAAGAAGCAACAACGAAAAGAGGAACAAAACAAAAAGCGCGAAATGCAACTGGCGCGGAAAGCAGAAACTAAGAAGCTGCTGGAAGAAGAAACAGATCTTTTGAAAGCGGGGAAGATGTCTTCACAGAAATTCACCAGGGCTCAAATCAGGACGACTTTAGGGCCGGTGACTAAGAGTGTGAAGCCTATCCCATCTCTTCAGGAGAATGTGAATAGGGCTAAAGGTGAAGAAATGGCGGCGAGGAGTGTGGATGAGGCGATTAGCGTTCTTAAGGATAAAGAAGCAAAGGATAAACATCCTGAAAAGAGGAGGAAAACTGCGTTTGCCAATTTTGAAAAGAGAAGAATCAAGGAGGTGAGGAATGAGAATCCGGAGCTGAAGCTGTCGCAGGTCAGGGAGATGGTGTTCAAAGAATGGCAAAAGTCGCCTGAAAATCCTATGAATCAAGTGTAATTTTGCTGATTTAGATTTAGTTTGAAAATGTATTTAATAAAATTCTTGATGGATGGGCGTGTCTTGCAACACTTCTTCATTAAGATTTTCATTACAAAAACGTCTAATTTTATCTATTAACTCTTCCAATGTGTGGACTCTACTTTTATAAACGCTATCCTCCATCCATCCAAATATTGAAAGATCAAGTGGGTCAAGTTAGGAGATGGGGGGGGGGCTCTCTGCATTGGCTCTTAAACTTATGGGAAGTGGACGGGATATAGCGTGATGGGACAAAAGGAAATATATGTTTGTTGGGATTTTCTGGGAAGGTCCGGAAGATGTGACTTTTGAGAGGTCGTTAACAAGAATTCGACCCATGGTGGACAGCCGAGACAAATCAGCGCACCACAAAGAGTGACATTCGGACTTTGTTCCATTCTCGTCTTTAAATCCTCAACCACGTCTTCACTAACTTGAGGTTTCCCCGTCGGTTTTCCCTTAGAGACGCTACCAGTGTCGTTAAATCTGGCCACAATTCGCCGTATGTGCGTCTTCAAAGATTCTTCCTTGATGACAACAGGATATTTCACCAGATACTCGTCTTTACACGCATCTACAGAGTACACCCAGTCTCCATCCTCATTTAACACCCCATTACGATAATAGGACATGATGAATATGTTTTGCTCCAAAGAATAACCCATCCTAACCTGAAAAAGTTATTTGTAGCACTGACCATAGTCATTCCTTTGTGTTCATTACCTGAGATTATTTCACAATGATCTGAAGTTTTGTTAAAAATAAAAATACCAATATTAGTGTAATCATTTCCACAAAACTGTGAAAGGCGGCACATAATGTCAACAAAGTCATGGCCTTCCTTGACTACAATATTTTATGATGACCCGTATATTAACAACCATTGATTGTACGTCATAGTATGAAATTAAGGTGATTTCTTCGCAATGCTTCAAACCTATGCTATTGCTACCTCCGCCAGGATATGCTGTAACAGAAGATCTCTGAAAGCAGTGGCTTGTGTATCAAATGAAACAACTGAAGCAAACCTCGAAAACCTCTTACGCAAAAAAACGGATTTGTATCATGGAGTGTTGCAACAGCGAAAAAACGGAAGTCGATAACGTCGATCTACTAAATTTCTTGAAGAACCCAACATTCAAGAATATGATAACAGAAATTGTTGAAGAGAACATTATGGTTCTCCGAGATGAGATCAAGGATTTAAATATGCAAATTTGAAAGCCAGCAACATCGATCTAATCACGATGCTTACAGGCAACAGCAGTTTATGCCCGAAACAACAATCACCGGTTCGAATTTCAAGAAATCCTGCAGATGCATTTTCACCAGCCGGGACAACGTCATCAATAAACAACCAAGCCTCCATAAGCAGGAAAAACGGCTCCTGTAAAAAAACATTCAAAAGAAAAGGCCATTGTGTAGATGAATCGTTAGTTTCCACACAAGATACAAAGGCTGATGAAGAATGGAAGTAAGTTCCTAATAGGCGTAAAAACAAAAATGAAAGTGTTATCCGTAGCAGTGGGAAAGCTGCAGGTGGTCTTAGTGCAGCTCCTAAAAGAGTTCATGTCTACGCTGGAAATTTTCGCTAGATACCACAACTTAAGCCATCGAGAAATATTTGCAGTCGCTTTTTTCGAACCGAAATCTTTGTGTTGTCAAGTTTCCGTAACGGAAAGAAGCTAAAAGTGTGTCTTTTAGAATTAGCGGTGATTTCGATTTATTCCAAACAGTGAAATATGGCCTTATTAAACGATTTTAATATTTTCGCTTAGGGGAATCAGAGTCACCTGAAGTCATAAGAGTTTAAGCAAAAAAATATACTTCCAATTCACCCGTAATAATAACGATTAATGTTTTCCTTTCAATATTCAGTCTATTGGCATCAAGATCCATGTAATTGTAACCTTTTTGCACAGAGAAAATTCAGTTGAAATTTTATTTGTAAACGAACATTGGCTCTTATGAGGCAATTCACTTAGATAACTCTATTTTCGGAGTACTTTATTGCAGAAGTTTACGGGTTCGTGGTAGCGTTGCAATATTTATTCACAGGTCACTTTAATTATGGACAACCCTATATGACAACTTTTAATGTTTTGTGGTAATTACAGTTTGTAAAGATCTACTGCAGGAAACTTTGACATGTTTGCAAAAAAAAATGATAATGTTATTAAGTAAGAATGTAATTAAACACAGTATAATTGTGACAGCGGACTTTAATGTCAAGTTAACGTTAATGACAGTGGGTTATTTTGCACTAATTTTGAATCTACTCATCTAAATCATTGATTGGATAGTGGATGTACTAATATTTTTTCAATGAATTTTTGGTAGCTGTACATAACCTACTAGTTCTGACCACAGGGATAGTTGTATGACACCAGTGTAAGTCTGATATTACAGTTTCAGATACTTTTTATCGGCCTATTACCGAAGAAGGTCTTTTTAATCTATATCGTTGCATTTAATTGGTATTTTGTGAATGATCCTAATGTAAACATAACAGTTACCTTAATGAAAGAGACTTGGAATATTTTCCACTTAAGAACTAATCATAAAGTATCTGATGAGATAAAATAGTTTAATTTCGAACTTAAACGTTTGCGTAATAGTCTATTTCCACTTTATCTGCTACACAAGGGAGGGAGAATTGATAAGCATGTATTTATTGTCTTCAGGAAAATATACAGGCAGCAGTTAATGAATTCTAAAAAAACAATTTAAATCACATTATGTTTCGAGCTCACACAACAAACACAAAGCAATTTGGAACATTTTAAATAATACCTAACATAAATAAAGGAGTTACAATGATACATGAAACATTACATGCTGACGAATTTAATAACAATTGAGGAAAATTTATTAAAATCAGCTCCTCAGAATGGAGAAGGAGAACCAAAACAAGTCTCGGTGTACGTAATTTACCATTTAGTTTCATGAATTTCCGTTCAGTGATGTCAGAACGGGAATTACAGGTCTAAACAGTTCTAGATGTATTGACGTCAGCAACAATAACTCTATAATAATTGCAATTTTGCTGAACTTAATTTTAGTTCCATTAACTCAACTCTTTATTAGATGTAAAAAATATAATACCTTTCCAGTTTCCGAAATTTTCGAAAGATATTGTAATGTTTAAGAAAGAAATGAGAAAGGACATAAACAATATCAGTTATCACAATATCAAAAAGTTTTCGCAATGTTGTTAAAACAACAAATTTAAACATTATTTGATAGTAATAATCTATTTCTAGGCAACACTACGGTTTTAGAAATTACGCTTCTACTACTGTGCACTTCTCACTACTTTCGCAATAATAGTACCTATAGGAAACAATTGGTTCATCAGTCCTGTTCATCTTATATCAGTTACTTCCGGTGTTCCCTAAGGATCTGTTTTGCGACCGTTGTTATTTATTATCTATACCTACAGGTGCTCAAACAATACATTTTATAATGTAACAAAAAACTTAAAAATTATTTACGGTGAATCTGGCAGTGGCGGTTAATTTTTCAGGTTTTTCGATCGGTATTTCTAAATCGATGTTTTGTTCTTGTAAATGAACATCAGATTGACGTAAACAATTTTTTAATATTTTTTTTCGAATTTAGACTTGTGAACTTAATATGTACCTACCGTTGAGTTGGTATACCATTTTATGAGCAACCTGTATATAAATGATTACCCTTTTTGGATCGAGTTGTAACTTTCATTTTATTTGCTGATGGTACCATTTCACTATCAAATAATAGTCTTCTATAATTAGCTCTGGACTAACAACTGGTTGAAGAAACAACTTTTGTAAGGTTTTGTTTAAATCAGAATAAAATTCAAAGTATGCTGTTTATCGTAAGGTAATCTAAGGATCTCAACGAACCTGTCAAAATTTTAAGCAATTATTAGACTCCAAGCATTTTGAGAATCACATTTAGATTATATTTGAAAAAAAAGCTAAGTTTAAATATTTACTTAGACAATTGAATAATGAGGTTAGCATTAAAATTTTTCTGCATATTTACAATGTACACAGTAATATTACATAGCAATATCACTTATGCCATTCTTAGGAAAGATTATTATAAATTTGCATTTATTAATCTAAAAATCATAAGTGTGTCATGTGTAGGTAGGTATACATCTCATAATGTTTGCTTTACATGTACAAGAATTTACCTGATTATCGTGTGTATCCTATTAGATATTAAATCTTTATCGCAGTGATTTTCTAAGACTCAGTAAATTGAGAAAGCTAGAGTGAAGTTTTATAATGTGCCACCCATGTCTTCGAAAAACATGCATTTTAAGTCATTTTTCTTTTCATTGGAGGAATTCATTGATTTCTCTCCTTTGTAAATGTAATATTGAAATTCACTGAAATTTTGCATTTTTTGAAATGGCTCATCTCTATTTCTTCGTACTCTAGGGATTACGAAAGGTCGAGAAAACGTAAAAGTAAAGAGTCGGCCGACGGACTCGATTACAATACTTCCTTTGCTTACGCTCAGGAAGTAAAAATATAGAACGATTTCAGAAACTGCTACAAAAAGAATTTTGGAGTGATCAATAATAATAATAATAAATCGGGATTAAAAGAATTCTATTTTTTTTTTCAGTTATACAGGGTGTCTCAGAAATAAGTACATTAATTTTAACCAGTAGCAGAACTCGTGAAACGGAACAACTTTTTTATCTAGCATTTTTTCGAAAACTCAAGTCGAATTTCGAATTTTCCCACCCATATATTCACGAGCCGTCTATGTTCACCTTAAATAATAACTCAAATAATAACAACACTACAACAATGAAGAAGGTACCCTAGCAACCGTTTTGACACTGACAATCATTTTTATGTCAATGTTTTTATTAAACGTTGTCTCTTTAAAGTTTGTTTGGCAGAGATTTCTAATTTATAGACGAAATGTGTTGAAATGACTTTGTTTTCAAATCTGGAATGCACCGATATCGTTTT